TTTAGGCTGTCTCCTTGTTAACATAAACATCCACACTGGGATGAAGCGGTGGAACTGAAGTCGAAATTACGTTTTACTTTTAGAAGAATACCACACAATCAAAACTCCTGGGTCTTAAAACTCCCTGCTACTGACTAGATGTGTGACCTGGGTCAGCAATCCCATTGAGTCTTGGTATCCTCATTTGCAGCTGAGAATGACTACCTCTTTTGGTTGCTTCATAGGATTATAATGAAGATTTGGGGGTTTTTTAGATTGGAAAATATAGTTTATTTCGAAAGTAAATTCTAGAGAGAGCAGAGACAGAAGATTCACCTCCCCAAGGCAGAGGAAGAGGCCAAAGTTTAGGACATATGTCGGCAGCCATAGCTCAAAGAGCACAAGGTCACATCAGAGCTTAGTGAAGCAACGGTCTATAATGAAGATTTAAAAATTGTTGCATGTTCATTGCTTTTGCAATGGATTCTAGAAGCACACATTTGATGGAGACAGCAAGACATACCAGAGTGTCTCAAAATTTTTTGTTTCCTCCAGTCCTTTCTCCTAGGGAGCTTGCCACAGAAGCAGATTCCTAAGACCCACTTCTAGACCTGATTATCTGGGAGTGGGGCTAGGAAAGCCACATTTGCAGTGATAAACCTAGGTGACTGTTATACATATGAAAAACTGACAGCTGTCAAAAAAGAAAGAATATGATGAGCATAAATGTAATTTAATTGGATAGCTCATATTTAATATTTGATTAAATATCTAATTTATGCACAATTAAATACATTATCAAATCAGATATTTAATCTAGTTAAATGTTTTGCTCACTTGTTGGTATGTATGTGTATGTTTATATATATGCGTATTAGAATTCAATGAAGGAAACTTCTGGTTTACACTGTGAATATAAGCAGTTAATATTAGATTAAATAATAGGTCATTTAAAGTGTCTAACATTTTTGTCTATATTCTCCTTATAACATTGCTTTGTTTTATTTCAAATATTTACTTAAATATATAATAAGTGAAATCAAAATATTCTCATCTTGTGGATCCAGATGAGATCATATGAACCATTATAACACAAATTTCTGACTTTGCTAAAGATGTAAAACACCCAGCCCTGAAAGAAATCTCCGCAAATGTGTTTCAAACTTGTTGGCCATCTCACATGTACCCATAAGCCAGTCTCCATACTGTAGACTCCCTGGGGTATCCACAGTGTTCTGGTGCCCATGCTGAGCTTTTCGTCTCTCTGAGCCACTAGATAGGTCCCACTGGTGTAACTGGCTGGTCTGTGGCTGGTGAGTCTACAGACATCCTTGCTGGCCGTGATGCCTCTCTGTGCTCCCTGAGCTGCCAGTGTCACAGTCATGGTGGTCTCAGCAAGGAAGTATGGACATTGGTTCTCTTCTCTGTGGTGGGACTCATCTGGTTCCCTGGGGCAGTGAGGAAGGTGGCAATTGGAGGATCTTTGCTATGAGGAAGCCATCTGAAAAACAACGATTTCCACTTTTGCCACAAAGGTTCAAAAACAAAAAGTCCTTTGAAGTAGAGTGACTGCTTTACCAGCTTATCTCTGGTTTTGTATCACTCTTTTCCAGGCACGTGGTTACACTGCCCACCCTTTCTTAATCCAAAAGTAAATGGTTAGACCTCACAGAAAACCCTTGGCTAGTTCCGGGAAGTCCATTTGCTTCATCGAGCACATCCCATAATTGTGAATAACCTTTAGGTTCAGCTGAACTCACCCAGCAGTAAAATTGTAGTGGAGGTTAGTACGTGTAATGTCCTCGCATTCTTTCCAAATAGTGTTAAGGTAATAATAATGAAATTCAAATTCTTTGACAAGACTAATGATGAAAAACAGCCACTCACTGCTCTGCTCTCTTGTCTCTGTCCCCATTTTCCACTACCCAAAGCAATGATCTTCAAGTTTTTGGCATTTTTGTTACTTAACTCCATAGATAGGTGCTTATGCTGTCAGCTCTTAACTTTTTTCTTTTATGTACCATGTCCTAACTTCTCCCAAGCAGCAACAGTCAAGTATCTTCAACTCCCTTCCCGTCATCACCTTTCAGAAGTGCATCCCCGCCCTATCCTCCAATATAGTTACACGATTTCTGCTTATATCAGTATTTCGTGTTGATACTATTATGATTATGCAACTATTCCCAACTGTGCTGTGTAATGAACAGGGTGATTTTCTTTTTTTAATTATTTGTGTAAATTTATGGAGTACAACTGCAATTTTGTTACATGCATAAGTTGCATGATGGTGGAGTCAGGGCTTTTAGGGTATCCATCACTCAAATAGCGTACATTGAAGCCATTAAGTAATCTCTCAACCCCCACACCCCTCCCACCCCTACAGCTTCCTGAGTCTTTCTATGCGTATCTTTCAGTTTTATCTCAAATTAATTTCTTCGTATTTACTTTAGCTTAGTTTCCTGTGTATCTATCACTAATTTGACCTTCAACTGCTGCTAGAAAAATAAATATCCTCTTAATGTATTTTAAACTCATTAGGTATTCTAGCAATTCCATCTTCTTAGGTCACCTTTCCCAGAATGCCTTGTCCTGTTACAGTCTGGACTGGCTGCTATCTCGGTCTGTTGTATGGCTTTTATTCTAGAATATGTCTTCACTATCATTTTTTGATTTTTGTCTTTCATATTGGAGCCTCGTTTCCTTGATTTAATGTACTCTTTTAAATCCTGCCCCCTTTTTATGAGAACAATTAACAAAGAAGAGACATACAAAGGGTACATTTATTAAGATCTAACATGTCTGAATACGTCTGTTATATGAATTCACTTGGTTAAAATGTTGTTGGCTACACAATCCTAAATTTAAACAGACTCAGAATTTTGAAATCACAGCTCCATTTGGGAGAAGAAATTGGAGGATTGTCCATATTTTCATCATATGTACATGTACATAATTCTTTTATTTTATCCAGGGTATTTCTCTTTCCGTGATGCCTGACATCCACACTCCACAATTCTTTTGGTTTAGGCTTTTCTGAGGGTGGAGTGGAGGAGGAGAGCTGTAGTCTGTTTTCTACATATACTTTGAAGCAATCCTGCCAGAATCAGGCTTTCTCTCCATTTACTGCTACTGAGCCTTTGGTGGTGTGCATCCCTGCGTTGCCTCTCAGTTTCTCCTGTGAAAAGAGGCTTCAGATTTCTTATGTTTACTAAGTCAGCTAACACTAATAAGCCACTTCTTACTTTGACTATTCTATCCTTATTGTCATCTTTCTATGATTGTTGGTGCCTGTCTTTTTATTAATCTCTTTATTGTCAGTATAGTGGAATTGAAAGGAAAGAGAAGTGATTCCTGTATTCAATCTGCCATACCATTATACATAGAAAATCAGAATAGTTCTGTGCCCTTATTTTTTTGTTTTCAAATTCTCCAAAGCTACAGAAAAGTTTGACAATACTACGCTGACCCCTATAACTTCATATAGATATCAAATTGCCATATATGTGCCACCTCCCTCTATGCATATGTTTTTGGGTGTATGTATGTGTGTATATATGTGTATATGTGTATATACACAAACAAACATACATTCCCTCTATTCTTCCTCCTCAATCTTTCTCTCTCTCTCTTTCTTTGAGTGAACCATCTAAAAGTAAGTTGCAGACACAAGAAACGTCATCCATAGATATTTTAGGATCTTCTAAGGTCAAAGAACATTATTTACATATCTAATACACCATTACCACTCTCAAAGAGTTAACATTTATACACTATTACATAATATATGGTCTCTGTTTAGATTTACTCAATTGTCCCAGCAAAGACATGTGTGTATTTTTTTTTCTAATTCAGGAGACCCAGTATTACCCTATTTCTGTTATCAATTCTAACTTGAACGTCATACCATTTTTTATGTCTCTTCTAAAATTGACATTTTTAATTCAGGCCAATTTTTTTCCATCATTGCTTGCAATTTGGATTTGTCTGATTTTTTCCTCATAATTAGTGTCAAGTTAAATATTGACAAGAATACTATGTAGCTCTTTAAAAGCAAACTGTTACTATTATTTTCATAGGGGATAAATATTATTTTATTTGCTTTTGTGATATAAAAGCATAGGGCAAACCATAACAGAGTGCATATGTATACTTTTATGTTTATATATTTTTCAAATTATAATAAAAATACACAAAAACTTTTCATTGGAAGTTAACTTAAAATACACTAAATAATTGTCACGTGTTAACTTTCTAGCTCCATTAAGCAAAGGTGCCTTTATTATTGTGATAAAGAAATTAGAACTCAGTCTTCTGTTTTTATAAAATAAAGAAGTTGGATTGGACAAATTTTTATAGTTTACCTAGCTCTCAATTCTAATACACTATGAATAAGACACAAGTTATAATTTTGAAAATGAAATAAATTTGTGGATAGGTAAAATTATGAAACAAAATGTTTTATGAAAATGTTTATTCTTTTATATAAATAGGTAATAGGCATATTTCTTGTAATTATTTACATTTCTGTATTTACAATATATACATTTCACAGTGTGTACAGTTTAACTCTATACCAATAATAGGTGACTTAAGTTTGGGTCACCTGATTCGCAGATAACTCAATATATATATATATGTATATATAATTGTAGTTTAGAACCCAGGCAAAAGGTTGAAACTACACATTATAAATTGTGATTCATTTCAATTTACTTGGCAGTAAATAAATTGAATATTGTTCATATCACAAAGGAAAAAAATATTGCTATTCATTTTATAAGACAGTTATTTTATAACAGCTTCCATTTCAATAAATGTATAGTCTAGTTTTCATTTAATTTTGTTGAATTAAATCACTTTAAAGATAAAATAGTTGCAATAATTTTTTTCACTTTTAATTGATTCCATTGAATGAGAGTACAATTCAACATCATTTATAGCCCCATTAGGACAATGCAAGTAACTATGAATGTAAGGAAGTTAGAATTGAAATGAGGTTATTACTTTTTTTTTTCTTACAGGAAGCTCTGATCATGGCAAGTATGGACCATCCACACCTAGTTCGGTTGTTGGGTGTGTGTCTGAGCCCAACCATTCAACTGGTTACCCAGCTCATGCCCCATGGCTGCCTGCTGGATTACGTCCACGAGCACAAGGATAACATAGGATCACAGCTCTTGCTTAACTGGTGTGTCCAAATAGCTAAGGTAAGTGCCCATCATTTCCTATGGAAATGATACGTCTGGGTTAACATCTCCTCATCTGGAACAGTTTGGATACTGAAACATGTAAAGTCTTCTAACTTATTTAAATAAATTATATTTGCTATACTGAAAGAAATATAGTAGGGAGATACTTTTATGCAAACCACTAATTAAATGCATGATATATATTGTTGGATTATTGAACTGTGCTATTTGTATTGTATTGACTGGATGTCAAAACATGTAGCTCACTAACCAGGCAGAAAAATGTTTATACCGGATTTGTTTGACTTTTGTTTGTTTTGGTATAGTCCAATTTACAAACAAAATCCAAGAAAGAATAGATTGAATGTCTGAGATGTTCCATATTTAGATGATTTTTTTTAAAAATGGTGTTTTCAAGTATCTATATTACAAATGGTAAATTCTAAATATTTCCTAGTATTTTTGATAATTTCAATTCATCTAGAACGAGAGAGTTTTTTTGTCAGACAGGAAGGCTCAGTCATATAACACACCTCAGAGGCGATGGGGGAGGTGGCTCTGTGGTGAACCAGGAGAATATCTACTACTCCCTAAGGGATTGTGATTTGGGAATTACCAGAGGTAGCTAATCTTTCAGTCTTTTAAAGCGTGGCCAGAATTCTGGATTTTTATGTGAATTCTTCAAATTTAAATCTCAGTTCAAATATTTGAAGCACTGTGGGGGCTAAACAAAGCATTCATGTCATTCAGTCCTCTAGTGTGTGTGACTTCTGGTATATGTGTACATTCTTCATGTTTAAAGCAACTATTTATGATTATCTATACCAAATATCTTTCTTGAAAAATTTCTGTTTCTAGAAGAATAGGACTGTGATGAGTTTTAGTTCATTATATCAACTCCTGGTTACATAAAAATGTGATCTGATGTCCTATAAATTCTATACACATTTTTATTTTACATTTGTATAATGACAATTTTGTAGTTTTGGTCTATTTATTTTTACAGTCTTATGTGTTCTAAAGATATTTTCATTTTTTTGTTTGTGTAATATAAATGCCAAAATAGCAACTTAGTAGTTTTGGCCTCTTTTTTTTTTTTTTTTACAATCTAATAATGAATAAAAATATATTACAAAAAGCAGAAATTGGAGATAATTTTTAAAACAAAAAATCGTATGATAGAAAAACCCAGCTAAATTCTGTGTACCATAAGTCTCAATATGTTCATAGTTTCCTTATGAACAATGTATTATAATTTTGTAAATATTATGCAATAAACTCACAATTGTGAGGATTCTTTATGGTAATGAATCTTGAATTATAACTCTTGAGAAGCTGATTTATTTATCTAAGAACTTCCATAATTTGTAAGGTAAGCCAAATATGCAACAGAAATTCTCAAGTCACCCTAGGACTACCAGTGAAAACAAAGTCAAGCTTTAAACTTCTTAGTTCCGTCTGTATTTCCTCATATATTATTTCTTCAATAATCCCACAGTTCTGTATCATTTAGCCTTTGAAAATGCCATGCTCTTGGCTTAGAAGTCTTTTCTCATACCTTCTTGATCTATACTTGATAGTTTTATTCCTGCATCAACCCTGATTGGGCTTCCTCCATTTATGGTATTGTTCCTAGTCAACCCTTCTCTCCAGGCATAAGCAACTACTTTCTCTTCTTGAACACATTTTTATTTTTAAGTGTTACATGTGTTTTTACATATCTCTCTGACTGTATGACAAGCTTAATTATTGTCACTCAACAAATATATGTGGACACCTACCATGTACCGGATACTATACTGACCAAGGTATATCGGAATATACAACAAAAATATGGGCCTGCTTCTCTCTGTGTACCCTGATGGATAGAAGACACATTCAAAAAATTAAAAAATTAAGTATGGGATTGAATACTGAGGCTGAGATTTTAAATAACATTAATTGCATGGGAGACTAAGGGAAGATGCCACTGAGTCCTGACGGAAAATACTTTAGCCATGAGAAGGATATTTAGGAAGAGGAAAGATCACACCCGGCCCTACAGATATAGTGACCATGGAATTTGTTACCAATATAAATGGAACCATTTTAAAAATGGAAAGAGGCTCTATTACTAGTTACGCCAGGACAACCAGCACAAAGTAAAAGTCCTAAACAGAGCACAGTATGTGGTAACCTAATATACCATGAAAAGCTTGAGTTTTATTACAGTTCAGTAGGCAGTTATTGAAGCATTTCAACATGGAATTGACATCATCCAATTTATATTCTAAGTAGATTATGCCAGTTTTTATATGGAGATTAGCTTGAGACAACACAAGAATAAAAATGAAGATACTGGTTAGGAGTTTGGAGGCAATGCAAATAGAGAAGAGTAGATGGAGCTAAGATATCTGATAATTGATTAACTGTGGGTGGTGGGAAGGAGAGTATGGTGGTTGCATTTTCTGAGCTAGCGAAGGATGGAGACAAATATTTGTAGGAGAAAATCAAGAGTTCATTTCCAGATACGGGAATTTGGAAAAGTTTCTAGAACATGAAACTAAAGATGTTAATTAGGTAGCTAAATTTGGTTGGTACTTTAGATATAGATTTAGAAGTCATAGGTATTTATATACATGGAAAGATATGAGATTACTTAGGGACTCACTATATCTTAAAATTGGATTATACATACAGTTGCCATTCAATAAGTACGTATTTTTAACTCATAAAGAAAATTAAAAATCTATCCTTAAGGAGGAAGTTCTTCCTTTATCTTTTTTTCTACTTTGGGAGAAGAATTGTTTACTACAAATAGCATTAGGGTCAGAAAGACCTATGTTAGTACGTTGATGTCCATTTTTCAGTTTTGTGAGCTTGAATGTTATTTGACCTCTCTGAATTCTTGTTTCTCAATGTATACAGTGATGTTAATAATTACTGCATTTTTTTCTCCACTGCAAAATGAACATCATAGTATCTACCTGTAGTGAATTGAATGACAATTTTCTGTAAATATGCTACACCCTAGACCCAGAATCTGTGAATACGTTACTTTACATGTTAAGGGATTTGGCAGATATTATTCAATTAAGGGTTTTGTGATAAGATTAGCCTGGATTACCGAGATCGGCCCTTTGTAGTCACTGGGGTGTTTATAGGTGGCAAGCAGAAGGATCAGATGTAAGGATAGAGAAGAATTGGATGATACACTTTGAAAATGAAAGGCACCAAAAGCTGAGGAACAGCTTCTAGTTACCTCTAGAAGCTGAAAAAACGAAGAAACAGATTCTCCCTGGAATCTCCAGAAGGAAAACAGGTCAACACATACCTTGATTTTAGTCTGGTGGAACTGATTTGGGACTTCTAAAATACAGAGCTATAAGAGAATACATTCGTATTGTTTTAAGTCACTGCATGTGTGGTAATTAGTTACAATAATAGAAAACTAATACATTTCTTCACAGTGATTTGCAAAGATTAAATAAAATAGCCCATGTATGGTTCCTAGCTTAGCTCCTAGAACATACAGTGTTCAAAACAATTTCTTCTTATTGACTGTATATTGACAGCAACATAACAGAAAATTATTTTAGAAATGTCTGTAAAATATGAATAATATGGTCTGAGTAAAGGCAAATATTTTACAAATAGCTATGTTATTTCAATAACTTCGAGGCTTATTTTTCTTTGCCTCCAATTCTTACCAAGAGAAAGTCATGAAAGTGTATGAGATATCATAATTACCCCAGTACTCACTTGCATTTTGGCTATAGCTCTTTTTTCACTAAAAAAGCTTGGAAGAAGGAGGGAGGCATGACGCTGTACAATAACCAATTTATAGATGTGTTATAACATGCCTATGGAAAGCTTAACAGTTTACAGAAGAAATCACCATCATAGCTAACTCTATCAAGCAGTCTGTGCTGGTTCTGTATTTTTTATATATTGATTAATTTGTTTTATCACAAATCTCTGAGGTAAGTATTACTATGGCCATTTCACAGATAAAGAAAGTGAGATATAGATAATTTAAGTAACTTGATTGAATTCACACAACTAAGAATTGAATAGTGAAACTGCTAATCCGTGTTGCCGTTACACATAAGAAAGTATTTTAAAATACAGTCTCAGGCTGGGGTGCAGTGGCTCATGTCTCTAATCCAAGAACTTTGGTAGGCAGATGTGAGGGGCGGGTTTGAGATCAGTCTGGGCAACATGGCAAGACCTTGTCTCTACAGTAAATCAAAAAATTATCCAGGCATGGTGGCACACGCCTGTAGTTCCAGCTATTTGGAAGGCTGAAGCAGGATAGCCTGTGCCCCGCAGATGGGGGCTGTAGTAGCTGTGAGCATATATATATACATATATTCTCATTCAGATTCCAAGTTTTTTCTTTCCATTTTCCATTGGTTCATCATTTGTTCAAAATTTTATATAACAGAAAATGCAAATTTAAACACCAAATTCATTTGTTTCTTCTAGGCAGCCATGTTCACTTTGTATGTGATGAATTTGGAACTTGATTTAATTTGGTAAGCAGAGCCCAACGTGTTATTTTATAATATATGCCTCCTTGGTGTTTTATGAATCCATGGTAGAAGGTAATGGGGAGAATCTCTTCTTTCACAGTTGTTGCTGAGAAGTTGGGCAGGCAGAGTGTGACGTTTTTTCTTTACTAAAACTCTAGCAGGTATGGCCTATAGATATGCCAGTTCTAGATGAGGAAAATGGGAAGTTAAGTCCAAGAGAATACACCAATATACTGAGATGACCAGATAACTCTGACTACCGAGCCAGGTTTTCTAAACTACTTTGCACTCTTTCCTGTCCACACACTCACACATGAGTCCAGCTTCATGTGACCCACTTTTCCTTTTCTTTTCTTTCTTTCTTTTTTTTTTTTAATTTTGAGTTGGAGTCTCACTCTGTCACCCAGACCGACCTGCTGGGCTCTGGCCATCCTTCCACTTCAGCCTTCAAAGTAGCCGGAACTACAGGCGAGCGCTACCACGCCCGGCTAATTTTTTTGATAT